AAAAAAACAGGATACCGATATCGAATTTATCGGAAACATACTCGATCTGGGCACTAGGAGCACCTACATCTAAAATTTCAAGTCTCCAGCTCTTATAGATTCTGAGATCCTTGCGTTCATACATACGGACAGACGGAGATGGCTAGATCGACTGGGCTATGCTCGAGATGCTTCCTTCTGTCTGTTACATACATTTGGATTTTGCACAAATACAATATACCCTTATACCTATTTGGTATTTGGTATAATGGGTTCAGGGTATAAAAATATACATATGTGCCCAAGCCGCGATTCCTGATAAAACTGCTTTTAATTCGCTTTAATAATTAATTACACTTACAGACGGCTATATATTGTATAAGACTGCTTTAGCTGAGAGCTAATTTGGACACACTTGTATTTTCACAAGATAGATAGTTTCATTGTCTTTAATCGCATCACCATACCACTCAAATAATCGAAGAAGGGTTTCTTATTTGTTCAAAAACGTTTTCATCTAACCTTTATTTAAGGTAATAGCCGTTTTGATGTGTAACAACAATACCTTCAACAGGTGCCTTAACATCCTACTTACTAATTAATTTTATTAATTTTATATTAAGTATGCGTGATCAAAAAATGCTTCCAAAAATTGTCGAAAGTGAAAGGCGGCAACAGTTTGCAGGCACTGTGTGGCAGTTAAATCATCAAGCCTAAAATAGGGCAATAGTATTTTTGTAAACTAAATTTAAACAAAACAAATGCTAGTAAAAGTATACCACACAATTTACCACGGAACCACGAAAAACTAAAGTTTTACACGGTCACAGACGCCATCGAATGTGGTCTGCCAATTTAAGTAAAGTTTTATATAGTTTACATTATTTTTGGTGGAGTCCCCATGAGGCTTTGTGTATACTTCATTTCTATTCCATTCTACATAAAATCTAATATATATATATATATATATATATATAAACATGTATATAAAACCAATAAATAAATCAAAAATAATATTAAATCAAATAAAATCTAACTATGATTTTTAGCAAAATTAAAATAGATATAGGAACTGCGTATAGTGATGTGTTGTGACTAATCAGCTTTTGGCAGTCGCAGGAAAAAAGTAAATAAAAATGTGCCTAAAGCATTTATTTGATGTCCCTAATTAGATATATATGCGAAAAAAAAAACAATAGCAATAAAAATGAAATGATGCTTAACTAAAAATGCTTCAAACGGCGCTTGTTAATTTACATAAATACAGTCTGTGCGTTGTTTTCATTTTTTTTTTATCGTTTGATTTTTAATTTGTTTTTATTTGTTTTGTAATTTTACGAAACGGCATTGTTATCTGTTTTGGCCAAACGGCAAATACAAATATTGTTACAGTGGCCAAAAGCTAACGAAACTGCTTAGCGTCGCATTGATTTGTGGTCTGCGGCAGCCAGTTCCCACCGTTGTTGTCATGCTAATCGGTTGCTATCATTATAAAATATTTAGCGTGCATTCATTAAAATTCAATTCAATTTCCGAATCATTGGTTGTGCAGCTATGGGCTTTTGTGTTGACATTTGCTGCTGTGTTGTCGTTGTTGTTGTATTGCTGTAATATTTTGCATTTGCGTTGATGTTTATAATTAATTAATTACGTGGCCACAAAATGGCCAAGAATGCAAATTTCGCGCAATCTGCGGCGCATACCTCTTGTCATTGCCCCACATAGTTAGTCTTTGTTGGCCTCAGCGAGATCTCTAATCGGTGTTTCCAGCATTTTCATTTCCATATCGTTTCGATTCGATTCGATTGATTCAGCGAAATTTGCAATAGGTTTTTGATTTATGCTAACTAATTCGCTGGCGGATACGGCTCGCCGCTTTTGCACTTTACGTCATTTACAACATTCAGCGATAAGGTGGATGAGCGGCCAAAATAGCAGTAAACACAACGGCCGCCGACTGCGCAATCTGCATCTCCGTTGGGCGTTTGGCTGCCGCTTATAAAAACGCCCATCGATCGGATGAGCAGCATCACACGCCTTTCACACCTCGAGCCGTAATCGCGCAAGGTGACAGCCGTTGACATTGCAGCTGAAATTGGACTTTGGGGCATCACAGGAATATGCGTGGATTTATTGTAAGTGCCGCAAAGTCTTTCCACTTAACGTTTTTTGTATTCCAATTTAAATGTTTGTTCGCTTGGCAGGTCTTAGCCTTGCTGGCGACAGCCAATGCAGAAGTGGGCGGTTATAATTATGAAGCCGGTATTGGAGGCTCTTTATCTGGGGGTTCACTGTCCGGTGGCTCAAATCTGGACTATGTGTCCAACAGTCAGCCCGACTACTCCAGCGTCAACACGGAATTCAACAAAGAGTTTTATACATATTCCGCGCCAGAGGCAGATTTCGAAGATAACCGCAGCGTCGGCGACTTGGCTGCCTCGCTGAAGAGGAATCTGCGCGTGCTCTTCATTCGTGCACCCGAAAACAAAGGGCTGGAGAACGCTGCAGTGGCGCTTGCCAAACAGGCCGCAGAGCAACAGACTGCCATTTATGTGCTGACCAAGCAAGGCGATCTCACCAGCTTGGCCAACAGGCTGCAGAATCTCAACCACGTAAATGCCAAGAAGCCCGAGGTACACTTTGTCAAATATCGCACGGCAGAAGATGCGCTAAATGCGCAGCGCACCATTCAACAGGAGTACGATCGCCTGGGCGGCTCCTCCACATCCTACAATGCTGGTACTGCGCCCGTGCTTGACTTTGCCTCAAAGCAAGTGGTGCAACAGCCACAGCAGCCGCTGCAGCTCGTGGATGAGCGCAGAGCGGGAGACATCAGCATTGAGTCCACTGACAATGTGGGCTCTCGTGTAACCGAGCTAGAGGCGCCTTCTAGCTATGCGCCGCCAGCTGCCGCGGCGCCTGGTGCCACCTACTTGCCTGTTAACAAGGTCAAGTAGGCGTGGCCAGTGCTCGCGCTCCAGCAAATTAGCCAAATTGTAATACTTAGTCTAACGTTATAAAATACAAATTTAATTTTAATGTGCAGCTGCTTTTGCTATTGCTGTTGCTTTCTCTCATTGTGATTAATGAAACACACCATTTCAGCGTCTTGTAGCTGATATCAGCAGGCACTTAGCCCCCACCTCGCCCTGCCGCCAGCAATTAAAACTAAAAGCGCACTGGCATTGACCGCGCTTAAGACTGGCCTCTCGCATTAAAACAACTGACCCCAGCTGCCAGTGCTAGAAGCGCCTACCGTTTGCCCCCTTGCTGCTCACAATTAGTAGCCCGGTTTATGACACGTCGCCGCGGCTTCTGCTGACCCGCCCAGAAGAATTACTGCCACACACGCGATCAGCGCCAGGGACCAGCTAATTACATCTACTCCGGCGCACAACCATGGCCAATTTCTTGTGCCTTAAGTCGCGGCGAGTCGCGACATTTAATGGTCGCCCTTTTGAGGGTCAACTCAGCGATTCGGGCAATTTCAGCACACGAAAAACGTACAAACGACAACCACACTGAAAATTAAATGAAAATTCAAGCTGCATTTAAGGGCGCGCCCTTTGTTGGTTGTTCAAACTAAAGAACAAAAAAATCCAGCACACGAAAATAGTAAGAAATCCAAAAGTACGGAATGTGCCATTTAAATAGCCTCAATGTCGAATACCCTCTTCCAAGCTTAGAAATAGTTTTCGTTTATTATTTCATAGTTTTATTAGGTTAATAAATTAATGGCACTAACTTAACTCTTTTAATAGGTTTAGAAAGGTAAACAGAACAGCTTTGGCCGGGACTCGAAGCCGGCCAGAAATTTCAGTTGTAAAACTTTTCTTTGAAAAACCTACTACTTAAAAATTACATTTATATATTAATTTTTTTTTATCAATTTGCCGTATAAATTTTATATATTTAGTTTACTCCCATAGAATTTAAGTCTTTTTTCTCTCTAATTGTTTTAAAGTCTATCACTAATTCGAATAATTTTACAATTGTCTAGACTTGCATACTACAATGTATTTCAACTCTGACAATTTGTACTTGCATGCCCTTTTAAGGCTTGGGTACGTTTAGAAATGGTAGCCCAGTGCAAAAATAATAGAGACGGCACAAACGGTTGCAGGTAGTATTCAGCTGCAACACGCACAGGATCCTAAGCATACTAACGTATACATATGTATATGCATATGCATGTGTATGTATGTGCATACCTTATATACATATGTATGCATTTATCTGCGCTGGCTTGTGTCTGGCACAATGGTCTTACGTGTTGCACAAACATAAATTGTGCAACAACGTGTAAACTACTTTTTGACTGCATAAAACGCCCCATTCATATGCCTTTGCCTGGCTGAGTTTCCTGTGTGCAGGGCCACCCTCTCGACCCGCCCGTCCGCTCCCACCCACCGCTCGAAGTGTACATTCAGCGCTACGTGTTATGCCTTTTATAGCCATGCCGCTGCTGGTGCTGCTGCTGCTGCTGCCGTTGTTTTTGTTTTTTATGTTTTTTTTAGTTACATTTTTTTGTTACTTTCATTCGGCGCTCTTAAAGGCGTTTCAAGTCAAGCAGCTGAACAAAACCCTCAACAACAAAATGGCAAGCATTCAGACAGCGGAACAATGCGGAGTATATTTGTGTCGCCCAAACACTTGTTTGTGTTATTGTGGCAATTACTTAATCAATTTTAGCGGTTAATTAAGCTACATGACCAATGGCACACATGGCGCATACTTAATGTAGTTCATAAATGCAGCAAGGTCGCTGCTCGGGGCATGCTTTGACATTCCATTTGCATAAAATCACACACACACACACACACAGACACACATTCATGCATGTGTGTGTGTGCTGTGCAGTGTATTAAGCTTTAACTTAATAAACATCGTAGTCTATGTCACGCCCCGCACACGCACACACAGACACACACGAACACAGAAATTTATGCACACTGCTGTAAACTGCTGTAAACATAAACGTGACCGTTACTTGCTGCTCTCTCTTGTTGTTGTTGTTGTTATTTGTTGCTACTGTTGCTTGCGCATTTTATAGTTGTTTTTTTACTCCGCAATACTCCAGATTGCATAAATATGCGCCAACTTTTAATAGTGGGCGCGTCTGCAATTACGCCCACAGTCGTACTCACATACGTAAATACTGTGCAGCCTGTAACAGAAGCCATGAATAAAACAAATACAGGGTGCTTCGCGTAAAGCTGAAGTTTATCTTAACTTAGACTTAGAAATTTAAAAAAGCTTAAAAAACCTACGATAAATTAAAATTTTGATTTATTTATCATTCAATTGAAAGTGAACTGGAAAACTAATTGCAATATTTATTTGATTTTTTAATTGGACTACCAAAAAAGACATAATCATAAATATGCAAACATTAATTGTATAACAAATGACAGGATATGATTGTTCTCACAAGATTTGATTGTCACATTAACAAAGAATAGATAAAGCGTTTTCACTTGCTATACTTTAGGCATCTGCTGTTTAAGTTCTCCTGAACCATTCTGCTATGTAGTAAGATATTTAGTAGTCGCACCCTGTGCTCATTGCAGCTTCAAGGCTTCAAAGGCTGCAGCTCAGGTACATTGCAGCTCACTTGCAACTGTGCCAGCTGGCTTATGCTCTGCCGGGACGGGGCTCGTGCACTTTGGTTATAAATTATTGCTTATTAACGTTAAGTTTTCAGCAAAATTAGTTTTACACACAAACACAGTCACACACGCTGCATTTTGAGCTGTGGCAATTATTTTTAAAGCGTTTTTGCTTTCGCCCACGGAAAATGCAATTAGCCAACAAGGAAATGGCGCAAGAGTTAATCATGGTTTCCACTTAAGGATAAATTAACCAAGTGGCATTTGCCACGAATGCTCAGCGACACACATCAGATACGATTGGGAAATGTGAAATTCATGTGTGTGCAGACAAGCGAGCCAGCCAATTGCGCTAAAAGCATTTCAGATCTGGTTATATAATGCACTATTAAACAGTCAATCCAAATATGATGTGATTGGCTGCCAAATGTCAAGCAAAATGTTAAAAGTCTCCAAATGTGCTCGTTAAGTTGCAAGTGATGTGTTTGTTTTATTGTCTTCAACCTGGTTTGGCCTGGTTTACTGCGCTTTATGTCAGGGCCATGTTGCAGCTGGCCCAATGCAAATGCCTGCCACGTGGCGTATGTGTAATGCGTATGCAGGTTTGAGCCACGACCACACAACTTGAAAGAGCAACATCAGGAGCAGCAGAAGCAGCAGCAGCAGACATGGTAGAAGCAGCTGGCAGGCGAATTGTGGCGTAGCCTGTCATTAAACTAGCACCACACACACACACACACACACACACACAAGCACGCCTACTCAAGCACACACTTAAGCACATACGCATGCCCATGGCTTTGAAAGTTGAGCTGAGAAAGTTGGTATATTGGAAAAGTTTTCCTTCTTGATTTTTAATATCGCAGGTGAGCGTAAATAATTTATTGCATTCATTTACGTTTCACTTCCAATCGCGCCACGTAAACATTTCTAGCAGGCAGCGCGGTGGCAAGCAGAAGCCATGCCACAAAATTTATTTATATTATCCACAATAAAAGGCATAGGGAACGAAGGATAAGCAATGGCAGCCCGGCTGGCAGCCGGTTTTAACAATGTGCCAACATCGCGGCACATGCACAAGCCAAATCCTTTTAGACCATAGATAAGAAAACTTTAATAAACACGCCACACACGCAACCTGGGGAAATTGATAAGAATATGAAAAGTTTTTGCTGGGCACTGAACAGCTGGCTCAGTTACCCAGTCAAGGGCGGCAAGGGTGGACCTGTGAGAGTGTTGTATGTGCCAAAGGTGGCAGGGTGCAGAACTTTGCACATTGCATACTTTTAGAAACAGTTCGTCGTCTGCTTAGCTGACTGCTAAAAGTTGTTGCCTTTTAATTTGTAAGCCTCATAAATAAAACTCGGTTTATGCCAAGCATCGCCAGATGCCGGTTCGGGCTGATTAATGGCCCGGTTGTGGACTAACCTGTGCTTTTTCAACTCCATCTGCTGTTTCTTAATCTCCATATGCTTCTTGTTTATATCATAGTTGCGCTGATGTATCTCGTGTATCTCGCCGATATCATGATAATTAGCCAGAGAGCTGAAAGGATTGTTGTAGATGTTTCCAACACCGCCATGATGCACATGTCCGTCGTGTCCATGGTGCGGCGCATACTGCGAGAACTCATCTGCAATGGCAAAAGTCAAAAGTCATTTTAACAAATGGGCTAATTAAACTAAACGTTGCACTAGCTCAAAACCACCAGCTGGCAATGCATCTGGAAACAATTATATAACTGCATTCTCTCGCTGGGTTGGCATCGGATGGAGAAGCTATTCTTGGATGCAAATCAAATATCATAAAAGTCACAAGTAGGTGGATAGCATATAGATTTATCTTTAAAATTTAAATAAAATAAGATGATTCAATGCTCATCACAGGACATTAGTGCGTTATTGTCTGTGTCCCTTCTAATATACACGTAACCTCCATTTCCCTTTCCCGTTCTATTTACTAACATTTGTTTACCGGAAAAGGTTACCTGGGAGGGTAAAGGTGTTAAAAGTAAAGCAAGAGTCTGAAAATTTTGAATATATATTCGTTAAAAATGTGTCGGATAGTGTTACAACATTTATGACACAGCAGATGTAAGTCGAAGCACCCAATTCAGCAGGTGGACCACTGTTGCCCTTCTATAAGGATCGACCCTCTAACCGCAAATATTAATAGTTTCCACAGCCGGACAAATAAAGAATAATAATACTAAAGCTCAAGTCGGTTGCACCCGACTGCAATATTCGAACTTATCGTGGTTTACTTACCGCCAGGACGGGCACCGCCCCAGCGCAGGCTCTTGTCGTAACGATCGATGTAGTGGGGCACGTGGAACTGCGGCTGATACTGGCTGTAGTAATGCTGCTGATAGTAATGCTGCATCTGCTGCTGAGTCAGCGGCGTCTGTTGCTGCTGCTGCGTGCGGCGCTGATGCTTGCCGTTGAACGAGAAGACATGGTGGGTGCGCACGTACTTCTCCTCGACCTGTCGGAAGAGAGAGCGGGGCAAGGATCAGAAGAGGGTTCACATTGTTGACTTGTAATGTTACGCAACTTGCAAATAAAAGTCATTTCAATGTCAAAGCTTTCCATAAGGTTGCAAATAAAAAATGGATCATTGAGGTAGGTAACCCATTATTATATCCCTCGCCTCTCCACCCGCCACGCAAATCCCCCCACCGCCATGCGATGCCCGGTCAGATGGTCGTGTGGCAGCGCGTTTATGAATAAATTTCATTTTAGAGTTTACCATATTCTGTGTGCGCCAGCAGCAGATATAATAAATTTATTTATATTTCATTTCCTTTTCCCTCAACTCTTGTTGTTGTATTTCTCGCTGAGAAGCAGCTGCTACCGCTGCTGCTGTGCTGCCTCGGCTACGGCTGACCCACACAGGCACTGGGTCTAGGTCTGCGCCCGGGCCTGGGTAATTAAAATGAAAGCTCCATAAGCCGCACATGTAGGCTATAATTATAAAATGGCTTAAACTGATGTTTATCTCAATGCAGCGCCACTGACATTCTGACGTCCCCTGGCAGCCATTCCATTTCTCGGTCACACAATATGCATTTGGAAATATTGCTCCCACACACCCCAATGCAACTGACCAACATTTGTGACCCTGGCCGTGTTTTCTGATAGATAAATAGTAGCTCTTATGCATACGCACCTTTTTGCCATTGATTAGCCATGTTATGTGCGGGGCTGGTCGTCCTCGGGTTGTGTTGCACAAGGCGAACAGCTTCTCGCCTATGGCGAAGGGTGTGCGCTTGCGGAACTTGATGGTGGGTGGACCTGTCTGAGGCACTGTAAAGACATTACAAGAGCAATTAGTGTCTGTCTGCTGAAATTGTCTTGCCAATTGTTACGCACAGAAAACGCTCATTAGCTCATCGGCGCTGGCTTTGGTAAAGATGGGCGTGTCCGTTGATACCTCGCAGTAGAACTGGCCCGACAAGTCGAACTGCACATTCTTCAAGGTTACCTGCGTTTCGTTCGAGTTCTCCCACTGTTAAGCAAAAGAAAAAAGTTTAAATACTAACTTATTTAAAAGAAATAATTAGCCAATTTATTTACTATAAGTTAGTGCGTGATAATTAAGTGCAATTTACTAAATGGCTTACAACAGCTGTTGCGTTCGTCAAGGTGCACTCTAATAAATGAGCTCTAAATAATTTAAACATAATAATATTACTTACAATTGCGGTCGATAGGATCAATAACTATTAATCTGTCACTAATCATAATTTGTCAGCTAATGTGCATTTAATGTGCATTTTTCTAATTTCATATTTTCTTTCTTCTAATTTTTAGCAAGTCCGAGAGGGTTTTAAATATTATCAAATTAATATGTGCACATTTAAATGGATTTTTATACATAGACTGAAATTTAATATTATGTTGCTGTTGGTTTTTATGGCCAACATTGAACTTCTAATTTAGTTTGGACTAAAACAGAAGTCTAAAAATACTTTTTTTACTCAATAAATTCTTTTTACTTCAATTAAACTGGGGCTCACAGAATTTAATGGAAATTGACTTGCACAGCTGACAAGTTCGTTTAAAAAGAAAAATGCGCGTTATTTCGTCCTAAAACAACATTTATTATACTCTAGCTTATGGTTCTTTAATGTTCTGTATTAATATATTATATGAAAAGGTCGCGTCAAGTCCCATCACACACATGTATAAAATAATATTGAGCCGAAGGGCTCACCTGTTAACCCTTACCCAATTGATGTACACACACAACATCAATAGTAGAGACAATCAGTGGAAATTATATGGAATTACTTATTTGACATGCCTGCAAGGGTATTTAATCTTCGGTACGTCAAATTTAACTGTCCTTGCTCTTACCCCCCGGCAATTTGCGTCTACTTACATCAATTTCGGCTCCCTCGATGGTGGAATTACGAAATGGGGGATTGCGTCCGTTTATGAACTCGAAGAATTTGCCCTTCTCAACCTTCAGCCATGTCACCTGCAATCAAACAAATACATTTGGCCATATTAAAATATTGTTACGTAACAGTTTTGTTGTTGCCACGCTGATTGTGACATTGATTGAGTAACTGCGTCAATTTGAATGCGAGCCGCCGGATCGGTTCATGACTGCCGCAGTTAATAATCTAGAGTAAGTAATTTGATGGAAAAAAAAAATGAAAGAGAGAAAAAAATTGAAAACGGAAAACGATAAAGTATAAAACAAATGCAATGCAATTAAACTTTGCAACAAGTTGCACGAATTTGTTGCAAGGACAATTAAAATGCGCGTTAAGCTGTAAAACTGTAAATAATAGAATGTTTTATTGAAATGCCACAGGCAAATGTCAAACGGTCAGCATGAGGGGGAGGCGCTGTCATGTAAATGTTTGCCCACGTCGTCCTGGGTGGGCGGGGGGCGTGATGAGTGCGTTATTAAAAACGAGGCTTGTGAAGGCAACATAAACGCTCGAATATGACTGAAAAAGTTAGCGCCAGTGCAAATGGGACTTGGAAGCAAAAGCAAATATGAAAACATAATGTAAATGAAAATAAATTTCCATTCGCAACTTGCGACTGTGGAAAAGTTTTTAGTTTTGGGGTGGGCGGCAGAGCGCGAGACAACCCTTGAGGCCCCGGAAGTGAAAAATAAAACGGCGCTTGCCAACAGCTTTTAATTACGCACAATATTTATTTATTGCACTTTATGCGACACACTTTGGCAGCTAAATTAAAATGTACTCGTAATTTATTTAAGAGTTCTGTTTATATTAAATATCACGCTCGACGGGGCGTGGGCGTGGGCGTGGGCGTGATGTGGGGCAAATTGGTTGATTGACATGCTTCACAGCAAATTGCATTGATTGCATGCAACTTAATAATATTAATGTCCCTATTGAAAGTGCCTGCGGCGAGCGCGGCGTATACGCAATTTGGGCCGCAAATGTCGTCATTACTCACGCATGTGTTCTCTGTCAGAGCAATCGATAACGGTATACAGTGCCCCGTTTTGGACGGTCAAAGCAAACATCAACATGCAACCGCTGAACCATTCGACAGCACATAAGCACGTTTGAGCGCTCTCTCCATGTGCCCATCAAATTTTATCAGCCACTTGTGGAAATTTTTGAAACAATTCCTCTTGATATGACATGAAACTTTCGGAGCCACGGTCACAGTCATCATAATAATAGCAGTGTGCATATCGCAAAGTAATCAAACGGGGACAGTATCTGGCTGTGGATATGGGGGACATGGCCCGGTCCCTGCAGAGAGCGTTGTGATCCTGTTCCATTGTTTTGTATTTTTGTTGTTTAGCCAGACATGAGTTTGGCCTGTGTTGGCTTTGGCGTGTCCGCTAAGCCATGGTCTGACTTTGTGCATATTTTGTTTGTGTTTATTAGCCCGCTTCTTTTTTTTTTTTGGTACTCAGCCGGCAAATCAAAAGCTCAATTACGTGGTCGGGTCTGAGCCAGCCCCGTTGGCCCAGCCTGCCGTTCGCAGCGTAATTAGTTTATTTAATTTATTTTTTCGCGCTGCTTTTGTATACCCAAAAGTATGCTTCAGCATGTGAAAACCATACGACGCAGCCGACTTCAATTCCATGGTTAACCGTGTTCGCATTTGCGTTTTAATTGCCTTTTTAGTGCCACTTCCACACAATTTGCCACGCTTCGTGCAACAATTCGAATCAAAACCGGCGGCATGGTGCCGAGTGTGCCAGCGCACTCGGTTATATAGTCAATTATACTAATTAGCCATTGCCAGGCGGTAGTAGCCGCAAAACGGCCAACTGGCCAAATAAAATAATGTCTACATGTAAACACGGCAAGTGCTGCGCTTATTTTATTTTTACCCCCAGCTAATTGTACCGCTGCAGGTATGCCTGAGGGCAGGTGTACAGGTGTGCATATTAAATTTGTTAGCTGACACTAGGATGAAAATCAGAAAACACCATCGGCCAGATAATTTACATAACATTTTCAACAACTAAATAATAAAAAGGACAAACAATCAAAAGGCAATTACTCGCTAATTTAAATATTAAATTTCGACGAATATGAAATACAAATAATATTTGGCTTCTCTTGATTTGATATCGTTTTTTCGAATTTCGCTGTGGCTCATGGTCTGAATATTGTAAAAATAATTAAATACAATATGCCCATAAATACACTATAATTGAATCATTAGTTCTATAAAAAAATTTCTTATGTCTTCTCGTTACTAAAAATATACTCTGTTAAGGAGCAAATCCAATTCTAACAGAGCAACCCTTGCTAGCCCTTGTTTAAGCTAAGTGCACATTTGAAAATCAATAATGATTTTAAAGGGTTTGCTTAAGTCAACTTCTTTTTTTGTCAATTCAACTCGAATAGAGTACAGCAAAGCTTGCATGGACATTGGATGGTAAATTAACTTTTTTTTTCCAGCTAACACATTCATTAATTTTCACTCTGCCTAATGATAATGACTAATGAAAAACCGTACATTAACAACCTGTGTTCCACACTTTCGTCTAAAATTCATTCTTGATTTCGAACGAAGTAACTGCAAACTGCTGCTACCGCTTCTACTGCCGAAAACTGGAGGAAAATCAATATGTTGTGCGCTTCTAAAACACTCAACTTTGTGGTATTTTTGCGCCATCAAAGTTGTACGCTTTTATGGTACTTAGAATGAACAAAACGACAAGCTCGCGCACAACCTCCATCTCTACATCGACCTCTACCCTAACATCCAGAGAAGTCGCTGCCGCTACCGCAGCCGCAGGCGCTTGTGCTTATGGTTTTGCTTTTGCTTGGCCTTGAATTTGTATGCCACGATTTGTAGTAGCATAAAGTTCCAAACTAAACTTAAAGTATGCACGCTGACTAAGTCAGCTACACTCGGCTACCGCCTGGGTCACTGTGGCAGGAAAACCAAGCAGCTCATTTGCCATAAATTCAAAGGCGTCGCCTTTGGGGCCATAAGCCGTACGCCGTACGGCTATGCGTGTCCCTTGATGTTTCGTGACAGTAATAAGAGAGTTGAAGTGAAATTAATTGTCGCAACTGTAACTGAAACTAAAGCCGAAACTGAAACTAAGGCGGAAGTGACAACGTCGGGGGCAATGAGGACACGATGAACCGCTCTTTGATTGCAACTTTTCACGACAATTGCTACAATTGCATTTCTGTCTGTGGCAGAACTAACAACATGCACTACCTCCAGCACCTGCCACTGATTGGGTAAGCTTCTGTCAAAGCTATAAACTTGCCAGAGTAGCACAAAGTAGCACAAGGCAAACAAAGTTGCTTTGTCGTCGCGGTTGCCATTTCAATTTAAAGTTCTCATCGTGCCTGCCACATTCATCATGCAAACGCTGATATACTTGACGGTAAAGACAAAGACAAAGATAATAAGTACACATTTGCTTGCGTTCAGTAAACTGAACTGAAGACTTACCTTGAACAGTATTTCCGGTATCACATTGTGCTTGCATATCAATGTGGCGCTGGAGCCGCGCTCCACATACCTCGGCACCACCAATTGCACATCCACATCCGATTGTCCATCTGCGAAAAAGAAGATGAATTCACATTTACTAAATTTGTAACATGCATCGACGCTCAATTGCGGCTTAATTGAATGCCTTTAAAAAGCACAAGCGAAATAAAAGGCAAACATTTCCAAATATTCCGTGTATTTGCTGCGAGAGCCATCGCCTTAATTGTCAGTTTATGGGGTGTAGCTCCTCCGACCTGACCACCAGCCGGTCCGATAAATTTTAATTTGTTTGCCAAAGTGCACATGAGATATTTTTCGCCTGCATTCGTGTGCGGCATTGGACAAGCGGCGAGTGTCAAATATTTACGAGGGCATGCACCTGCACCTTTTTCACCTTGCTCACATTGACACGTGAAGTCCGCTGCGGCAATTTTCCGACATATTTTTTCCTGTGCCCAGCCGGGCAACAGCTCTTCAAGCCCTCTTATTCAAAGTGCGAATACTTTTAAAATGAAAACTGCACTCTTTTATCGCTTGCGCGCAGAGAAGTAGCTTAAAGGTGCAGCATATATTGATTAATATTAATTACTTTTGGCATTTCAGATAATTTATTATCAACGATTCGTTCACAAACCGAATAAACAATGTATTTACATTTTTGAAAATTTTTACTATAAATTACTCTTTTTCTTTGACAAACTACGTTTACTTAATCAAATTGTCGGAATTAATTCTTTAATTTATTCAATTTTTTGTGTATTTTATTTAATTTGTATACATTTAATTTTCAGTTCACCTGAATTTCCTGTGAACTTCAACGCACACTGATTGATCAAAATACTTTTTTATGCGACTGACAAATTGAATTACGTGTAAATATTCCCAACAGTTTAGCGGGAAAGTGCATTAAATAATTAAAATTTAGCTGTGAATAATATTTTCCGTGGAAAACATGGAAATCTGAATGACAACAGACACTCAACCATTAAATTTGGCTAAATAGTTGAGCGGATTTAATATTCTAGAGAGCTCCGCAGCGGGCAACAATTTGCAAATTGGACGATATAAATCGATAAATTAATTGCCAATGTTGCAGCGAAGAGTGTACGTCCAATCCCAATCATAATTAAGACACCAAATGGTAAAAAGCAAACACATTGCCCCATTTGCGGGGGCCTACAAAGTGGCGCCAATTTCATTTTCATTTATTCACACCACGCGGCTGTCGTCAGTCACGCAAAATGTCAACGACTGAGTAAGTAAAAAACGTGTCAGGCCGCGCGAAAAATATGGAAAAAGCGGAAAACAAGAAAACCAAATGAAATGAAGCACGTCAAGTGCATGACAGGCGAGTAGACGGACGGACAGACGGGCGACAGCGGATAGGCTGGCAGGCAGGCCGTCAAACATGGTAACATCGTTGCCTTTCTGGTTGGCAACTTGTTGCAATATACAACGAACATGCCACGTTTTCATTGGTTTTGTGGCATTGCCCACAGCAGGACGTCTCTCGGTGTGCGTGTATGTGTAAGTCTGTGTTTGTGTTCGTGCCACACGCTAACGAGCCGTAATTCACGAAAATTCAATCATGCCCAAGCTGCCCAAGAATCGAGAGCCAAGCCGCAGCCTCCAGCCACCTCACACCCGCCAGCCATACAACCATTCATTGATGCTGCAGGGCCAAGGAGCAGACAGCCCTGACACGAACTCGAATCCGAATTGGCTGACTTTTTGCCAGCGCCTGCCTTGATCCTGTCTTTTTCGATGATTTTTTTAATATCTCGGGTAATAGCTCCGCGCGGAGATATGACGTTCCAAAACGACATAACTCCGCGCGGAGATATGACGTTCCAAAACGACAAAACACCGCAGGGAGATATGACGTTCCAAAACGACATAACTCCCGCGATATGACTTTTCATAAAATCATCACGTTGTTTTTCAAAATCGAGGTTTTTGCGATAATCGAAACTTTTTCGATGATTTTTTTAATATCTCGGGTAATAGCTCCGCGCGGAGATATGAAGTTCCAAAACGACAAAACACCGCGTGGAGATATGACGTTCCAAAACGACATAACTCCCGCGATATGACCTTCCATAAAATCATCACGTTGTTTTTCAAAATCGAGGTTTTTGCGATAATCGAAACTTTATCGATGATTTTTTTAATATCTCGGGTAATAGCTCCGCGCGGAGATATGAAGTTCCAAAACTACAAAACTCCCGCGATATGACCTTCCATAATTTCATCACGTTGTTTTTCAAAATCGAGGTTTTTGCGATAATCGAAACTTTTTCGATGATTTTTTTAATATCTCGGGTAATAACTCCGCGCGGAGATATGAAGTTCCAAAACGACATAACTCCGCGCGGAGATATGAAGTTCCAAAACGACATAACTCCGCGCGGAGATATGACGTTCCAAAACGACATAACTCCGCGCGGAGATATGACGTTCCAAAACGACATAACTCCGCGCGGAGATATGACGTTCCAAAACGACATAGCAACGCGCGGAGATATGACGTTCCAAAACGACATAACTCCCGCGATATGACCTTCCATAAAATCATCACGTTGTTTTTCAAAATCGAGGTTTTTGCGATAATCGAAACTTTTTCGATGATTTTTTTAATATCTCGGGTAATAGCTCCGCGCGGAGGTATCAAGTTCCAAAACGACATAACTTCGCGCGGAGATATGACGTTCCAAAACGACATAACTCCGCGCGGAGATATGACGTTCCAAAACGACATAACTCCGCGCGGAGATATGACGTTCCAAAACGACATAACTCCCGCGATATGACCTTCCATAAAATCATCACGTTGTTGTTCAAAATCGAGGTTTTTGCGATAATCGAAACTTTTTCGATGATTTTTTTAATATCTCGGGTAATAGCTCCGCGCGGAGATATGACGTTCCAAAGCGACATAACTCCGCGCGGAGATATGACGTTCCAAAACGACATAGCTCCGCGCGGAGATATGACGTTCCAAAACGACATAACTCCGCGCGGAGATATGACGTTCCAAAACGACATAGCAACGCGCGGAGATATGACGTTCCAAAACGACATAACTCCCGCGATATGACCTTCCATAAAATCATCACGTTGTTTTTCAAAATCGAGGTTTTTGCGATAATCGAAACTTTTTCGATGATTTTTTTAATATCTCGGGTAATAACTCCGCGCGGAGATATGAAGTTCCAAAACGACATAACTCCGCGCGGAGATATGAAGTTCCAAAACGACATAACTCCGCGCGGAGATATGACTTTCCAAAACGACATAACTCCGCGCGGAGATATGACGTTCCAAAACGACATAACTCCGCGCGGAGATATGACGTTCCAAAACGACATAACTCCCGCGATATGACCTTCCATAAAATCATCACGTTGTTTTTCAAAATCGAGGTTTTTGCGATAATCGAAACTTTTTCGATGATTTTTTTAATATCTCGGGTAATAACTCCGCGCGGAGATATGAAGTTCCAAAACGACATAACTCCGCGCGGAGATATGACGTTCCAAAACGACATAACTCCGCGCGGAGATATGACGTTCCAAAACGACATAACTCCGCGCGGAGATATCACGTTCCAAAACGACATAGCAACGCGCGGAGATATGACGTTCCAAAACGACATAACTCCCGCGATATGACCTTCCATAAAATCATCACGTTGTTTTTCAAAATCGAGGTTTTTGCGATAATCGAAACTTTTTCGATGATTTTTTTAATATCTCGGGTAATAGCTCCGCGCGGAGGTATCAAGTTCCAAAACGACATAACTTCGCGCGGAGATATGACGTTCCAAAACGACATAACTCCGCGCGGAGATATGACGTTCCAAAACGACATAACTCCGCGCGGAGATATGACGTTCCAAAACGACATAACTCCGCGCGGAGATATGACGTTCCAAAACGACATAGCAACGCGCGGAGATATGACGTTCCAAAACGACATAACTCCCGCGATATGACCTTCCATAAAATCATCACGTTGTTTTACAAAATCGAGGTTTTTGCGATAATCGAAACTTTTTCGATGATTTTTTTAATATCTCGGGTAATAGCTCCGCGCGGAGGTATCAAGTTCCAAAACGACATAACTTCGCGCGGAGATATGACGTTCCAAAACGACATAACTCCGCGCGGAGATATGACGTTCCAAAACGACATAGCAACGCGCGGAGATATGACGTTCCAAAACGACATAACTCCCGCGATATGACCTTCCATAAAATCATCACGTTGTTTTTCAAAATCGAGGTTTTTGCGATAATCGAAACTTTTTCGATGATTTTTTTAATATATCGGGTAATAGCTCCGCGCGGAGATATGACGTTCCAAAACGACATAACTCCGCGTGGAGATATGACGTTCCAAAACGACATAACTCCGCGCGGAGATATGACGTTCCAAAACGGCATAACTCGGCGCGGAGATATGACGTTCCAAAACGACATAGCAACGCGCGGAGATATGACGTTCCAAAACGACATAACTCCCGCGATATGACCTTCCATAAAATCATCACGTTGTTTTTCAAAATCGAGGTTTTTGCGATAATCGAAACTTTTTCGATGATTTTTTTAATATCTCGGGTAATAACTCCGCGCGGAGATATGAAGTTCCAAAACGACATAACTCCGCGCGGAGATATGAAGTTCCAAAACGACATAACTCCGCGCGGAGATATGACGTTCCAAAACGATATAACTCCGCGCGGAGATATGACGTTCCAAAACGACATAACTCCGCGCGGAGATATGACGTTCCAAAACGACATAACTCCCGCGATATGACCTTCCATAAAATCATCACGTTGTTTTTCAAAATCGAGGTTTTTGCGATAATCGAAACTTTTTCGATGATTTTTTTAATATCTCGGGTAATAACTCCGCGCGGAGATATGAAGTTCCAAAACGACATAACTCCGCGCGGAGATATGAAGTTCCAAAACGACATAACTCCGCGCGGAGATATGAAGTTCAAAAACGACATAACTCCGCGCGGAGATATGGAGTTCCAAAACGACATAACTCCGCGCGGAG